AGGTGTTTGGATGGGAACATATAGGATGTCACTGCAGAATTATTTGCTTCACAGTATTAATTAACCCTTTCAGGGACAGCGGCGACTACAGCGGACAGCCTATCATGTTATCAGGTTACAGGTTATCATTATTGGTGCATGAAACGGTTCATCAAAGTTTTCGATTCAATTTCACTTTCTCCATCGGTCTCGAGTACCCGCGCCTTTGCGTGCCTCCTCTCCTTCCTTTTTGAAACTCGCTGCTGCAGGTGTTCAAATGGGAAGAAAGGAAAACCGATTTCACTCTGGAATTGTATTTTAAACCCTATTTCTGCAAGTTTTCCATTTCAATATCTCTTTCTGTTCGCGTCTCGAATGCCAATGCTCTCCTCGACACATTTTCTCCCTCCCTTCTTTTATAGCTTGTCGATGCTGGAAAATGCTCCAGCTTCCACTCCATAAATCTGTTTTACATTACACAAATGCATGTCTTTCTTTTCAGTATCACATTCTATTCGCATCTCGGGCACTCCTGGCCTTCTATATTGCCCTTTTGCATTTCCGCTCTCCTTTTTATACACACACGCCGCTGCAGGTGTTTTATTGGGAGAAAAAGCTGCAGATTTCATTCCAGAATTCTATTGGAAATCGCGTTATTGCATGTCTTTCTTTTCAATGTCACTTTCTATTCGCGTCGCGAGCGCCCCTGCCCTCCTTGTATAGGCCTTCAAATTTCCACTCTCCCCTTTTTCACACACACCGCTGCAGGTGTCGGAATGGGTGGATATGCAGCAGATTTCACTCCGGAATTCACAGGTTTTTCATTTCAATATCACTTTCTTTTTGCGTCTCAAGGACCCATGCCCTCCTTCTGTTGCACTTTGCATTTGCACTCTCATGTTTTTTTTTTAAACACTAAATATCGAGGGATATTTAGTGTTTATGGTTTTCACATTTCCCCATTTCATTAAAACACACTGCTGCAGGTATGAGAACATGAGCAAATAACTGCAAATTCCACTTTAAATAGCATCATTGCACGTTTTTCATTTCAAAGTCACGTTTTATTCGTGCTCGGGCACCTCTGTCCTCCTTATATTTCCACTCTTCCATATTTTTGACACTCACTGCTGCAGGTGCTCAAAAAAAAAAAAATGTCTCGAGCACAATTGCCCTCTTTCTATGTACCTTTAAAACACACACTGCTGCAGAGGCGAAAAAAATTCAGACATCGCCCTAGAATTGTATTTGACAGGGTGTTCATGCGTGTCTTTATTTTGCGTTAATTTCCACTCGGCACAAGAATGCACACAAAGAAAAACTCGTCAAACATCTGCACAGACAAAAAAAAAAAAAAGCAACGTGACTGTTGCAGACATGAGAAGCGAGCTTTGAAAGGAGCTCTTTATGTTCCTCAAGTACGCTATTTATTTATCTGAAAGGATGCACATTGTATCAATTTACAATTCTCCGCAGGCTGCGGGGCTAACAACTTGAGAGAATTAATTACTTTTTTTGTTATTATTTTTAAAGTAATCTATCTGTAGAGAGGGGAGAGTGGGGGGGGGGGGGTTAGAGGGAACAGCCCGGAGCATTGTCCTTTAAACTAAAGTCCTGGCTCGCATTATCTCCCCAAGCAGCACTCGCACCAGCACCAACAACAAACGAGTGGCTGAGGAAGAGGAAGGAGATTGGGGCTGTGAATAAGTATGGCAAAAAAAAAAAAAAAAAAGAACAATAATATCTGGTTGTCATACTTTGGTGCAACTTTCATGCTAAAAATTTGGCACATAAACATATCAAGAAGTACACCATTGCTGAGAATTTTACTGAAATGTATGCCGAAAATCATTTTTATGAGGTGATTTTGCAACTCAGTCATTTGATCAATCTTTTTTTTTAAACCAATGTCTCCACATAAGAATTTTATGAGGACATTTCACAAAAAGTGGCACATTTCAAACAACACGTTCTCGAACTCTCAAAACATTTTGCCACAACTTCAGCCCACAACCCCCCTCAAAAATATTACTTTGAAGTTATGCTTTTAACTTGGATATGTTTCACAAAAGCACATCAACTACAAATGTAGCTATTATTATTGATGTCATTTGAACAAGACTTGACAAAAACAATCTGGTACAGTATTAATTATTTTGATGATGCCCTTTTGATGATGAACAAATGTAAGTCTTCCATTGTCATTGAATTGTTTTTCGTTTTAGTGGATTTGTTTCCAATCCCGATGTTGGTTCTTATTTACATACAGCATTTGGTGGATTAAGTGTTAATGTTGAGTTGAGCTGACTTAATTTCCGCTCAGTTTTAGTAAGATCGTTGCTCTCACTGTGATTTTTACAGAAAATGGGCTCCCAAATCATCACTGTGGAAAATATCACCACCACAAATATTTTTGCACGGATAAAATTTGCTTTTTCAAGTCACCAAAAAAAAAAAAAGCAGAATTCTGATGCTTTTTTACTGGAAATCTTGCTCAATTCTTGTTGGAGTATACCAACTAGTATTTTTTACCAAAAGTTCCTGAGGGTGCCATAAAAAAAAAAAGTGCTTATCTTTGCTGCTTCAGCAAAAAATAAAACGATTAAAGGCAAAATTTTTCTTCCTGAGAAGGACTGACGGCTCTGTCTGACCCATCCTGATCCACTAAAATAGCCAAAAAAAAAAGTGCAACGGCGGCCATTTCTGGAGATAAGGCATCCATTTTCTTTTGAAGAACTTTTATGAGCGTGAATATTAATTGCAGCGATTGTTGGCCATTGCGCTTCATCAGGAGAGCGATGCAATCGAGCTTCAATTAAAAGCTAAATTGGACTCTCCCTGCAGGACACTTTGTCAAAGCGTCTCCTGGACTCTTGCCGCTTGTGAATCTCTCTCTTCATGATGCGAGACAGCACGCGGGTGTAATGGCCCAACACATGGGAATGAACGCAGCAATTTGTGAGAACGCTTCAGCGTTCCGAAGGCTGTGATGAATCTAGTGAAGACTCGATTCCTCCTGTGTTAGCTCGCTGGCATATGTGTGTGTGCCGCGGCGGCCTCCGCGAGGGCCTAATTGGTTTAGCAGCTGAGGGGTCACAGGTCAGCGTAGCGTAGCCAAACTCAACATGAACCTGATGTTGAGAGGAAAGCCTGCTCGCTATGGGAGGGAAGCATGTGGGGATTATGAGTCTGTTTTTTTTTAAACTTCTTTTTTTTTTCGACCACTGCCATACAACCAGTGCCTGCTGTGTAATTTTGGATAATTCTTCTTGTAATTTATTGTCTTTTGGGTAGGATTGAGTGTTTTCAGCAATTTTTTAATAATTTGTTTTCTTAATTTTTTTGCTACATTTCCCGTTTGAGTTTTGTATGTGTAGATACAGTACGTTTGTGTATATATATTGTATGTGCATGTGCATGTGGAACCTTAGAAAGTTAATTGGTTCTGCGCCCGTTTTTAACTTCAAACATTCATGAATCGAGGGAATGTTTCCCATTGAAATGAATGGAAATGCAATGAATCCGTTCAAGCCCTCAAACTAAGTCATACTTAACCTTTTAATTTTTTAATTTTTTTTTTTACTAGTGAATGGTTTTAAATAAATATAATGCAATATATAAACCAGTGAAAACAAACCATAAGGTAATAAAAGACTTACAAAATATAACTTTTGTTGCTCATTAACTTGAACTAAAGAAGGACTAAAGCTCCTCCATTGAAAGTGTCTTCTTGTATAATAGTGTTTTTTCTATTTTATTTTTTTTTTAATTCCGGTTTCTTTTCTAATTCATTGGTTGATTTTGGCATACCAATCCAGGGAAACTTGTCTTTTTCCATACTAAGAACACTAGTACATCAGAAATATGCAAATGAAGGTAATTTTTCTTCGACAATTTTGTACATATCCTGAATTTTTCATAAAAAGGGACAACCACAATTTAAAAAAAAAAAAAACCCAACTGGTTCCTGTGTGTTCCCTGTTTTTTCCTCATTTTATGTATTTATTGATATTCATTTTTCAGTATGACCATTGAAGTTTAAAAATAGTACAATAATTAAAACAAACGTGATTTTTGTGTTGTTTTGATTTTGTAGTATTTTTACATTACATTAAATATTTTTCTTCTTTTTTTTTTACATTTTGCATATTTTTTTTTGTATTTATTTAGTAATATATCCAAACCACAATACATTTTTGTACAATCCAGCCTCTTTCCTTATGCCTCTTCAACAAGGTGCTTGAGAGTGGAGCACAACTGTCGGTAATCTCTCCCATTTGAACACATTCTGAGCGCTTCCTCTGGCGAATGTCACATGCTATTACAATAATCTAGAATATTGAATTGGAAGCTTTATGCAGTGGAAATAATGCGCACTCCGTCATATTGCAGGGCCGAGCCCTAACCTACAGAATCACTGGGCCTCTTCGACTCCGCGCAGGGATCTGAGGGGATCATTTACCAGTTCCAAACCCATTACTATTCATGAGACGACGGGCTCGGGGGCGAGGGATTAGAGACTCCCTCGGCGCTTGTTGTGCCGCCGGCTTCGGCTCGGGCCGTGGGATGGGGGCCGTCTGGCACGGGCCGCGGGTTTATTATCGCCCCCGGTCTCCGGTGTCCCTCAGCGGAACACTCGGTGCCAGCGCCAGCTAATGGAAACAGTCGCTCTTGTTCCCTCAACCCCCGTCGGGCCCCGACTCGTCCTGAAGAAAAAGATGGGCCTCTTCGTCCTTCTTTTGCTTAATTCCAAGTGGAACCGGTGCCTTTCGATAGGAATGTCCAGTGGGAAGTGATTGATCTGCCTTGCAATTGGCTGGTGACCAGTTCAGGGTATCCCCTGCCTCTTGCCCAAAGTCGGCTGGGATCGGCTCCAGCTCACCCTTGGTGAAAATGTTGTGTTGGTGTATCGGATCCAAACATAGCAAACATGCAAACATCCTCAAAGCTCAGTGTGTTGCCATAATTTTGAAAAATGAGTTCATATCAAATGTATTTTTTTTTTTTTGGCATGCCCGCAGGTGATGAGTATCCTAAGCAACGGGAGCGCGGTGCCCTCACAGCCGCAGCACGACTTCTCCATCTCGCCGCTGCACGGGAGCCTGGACGCTTCCAACCCCATCTCAGCCAGCTGCAGCCAGCGCTCGGACCCCATCAAGGGGGTGGACAGCCTGGCCTCCTCGCAGTCCTACTGCCCCCCCACCTACAGCGCCACCAGCTACAGCGTGGACCCCGTCGCCGCCGCCGCCGGCTACCAGTACAGCCAGTACGGCCAGAGTAAGCACTCTCCACCCACCCACCCACATTTCCTTTCTTACATTCTGCCTCGCTGGCCCGTGAAACCACTTCAAATAACCAAAATATCGAACAGGAACTTTAAATTAAAAAAGCAAATTTAAGTGGAATGCAAAAATACCAAGTATACTATTAAAATACAAAAGTTACAATAATAAACAAACAAAAAAACATTATACAAAAATAAATGATAAATGTGAGAGACCACCTTGACCTTTGCACCTTAGCCAGTGGAGGCCGAGACACATGCTCTTGATAAAGGACCCCCTCGCCCCTTCGCCCCCCCATCATGCCTTAGTCACATCCCTCTCCACTTGGATGGGAAAGCGCAAGAGGGCCACTTCAAAGAGCGGCACGCCCTCGGGGCCGCCATGTCCTCTTGCCCACCTTTTCCTCTCGCCTCCATCGCGCACACACGCACATTAGTACAGCCCGGAGGCAGGAAAGAGTTAGCTTTATTAGATTAGCATAATTGACTGATGCTGTCGCGGCCATTCACCAAGGTAAAAACCAAGCACGCCTCCCCGAGCGCCATTGGTTTGTATTTCCTTTCCAAGCTCTCTCCCGCCTCTCCGTGCATGCACATTGCATCACGGAGGCGTCACGTAGCGTCAAGCGGATGCAAGCTGATGGCGGGTTAATTAAGACGCTGATTGAGCGCAGTGGATGGCTAATGAATGGAAGGGGAGCCGCCGTCGGATGATGAAAATGATCGGCCGTGTGTGGAGTGTGGAGGGCATGAAATTGCAGATGCCAAGTGCAATGAAGACTGGCATGCACACTCGCGCGCTATAGTGAAGGCTGGTGGGGGGTGTAGGGTCGGTAGGGTGGGGGGGGTTGCTGAGTGACAGGACGGAGGCTCGACCAGGCTGCGCATGCTCCATGCCAGCGGCCTGCCAACATTTTTTTTAAAACAAAATATTTCTTTTCACATTAATCACTGAGAGTGAAGAGTGAATGTCACATGACCCGGATGACTAGCATACATGTCCGATCGGTCACTTGTCAATCACAGTACTGACATCATCCGCTCTTTGGAGAGACGTAGCCGCTTTGATTGGCCGGGAATGAAGTCTGCTGTGTTCACTCGGCACAAAACCCCCATTTCTATCGACACAAACCTATGAAAATGCCAAAAGAAGGTAAACTCAAACCTTGCGCACAGTTGGACTGCGTTTTGCCACAGACTTGATGTAAACTGGTCTTGAGAATAGGGTGCGTTCATATTTGTAAAAAAAAAAAAAAAAAAACAAAAAAAAAACAGTAAAACATGCATTGTTGAATAACTTTCAGTCCTAAAAAAAACCGCAATGACATTGTCCCAAATGTTTTTGATTTCCTCAGTCACCACACTGTGTGGGTGTATATCCCCCCCCCATGTGTGTCCATTTGACATAGTAAGTCTGTTTTCGATTTTGGTTGTTGCAAACGGCAATGGCCTGAAATGATGACGGAAGAATTACTGACGGTCTGACGTGCCCAAAAAAAGTTTTTAAAAAAAGTTAACCTAAAGAAAATTGGACTGCAATGTTACAGAATTAAAAAAAAAAGTCTTTTTCTTTAAATGTACAAAGTACGATAGTTTACAAAAGCTGTGACAAATTTAGTAAATCTACTAAAAATAAAATTATTTAAAAGAAGTTTACCTTTACAGTAATGAGGACAATGCATGTTGATGAGACAGATTTTAAAAAATTGCAACATTATAAAATTTTACAAAATAAAATCCTGAATGACAAGAAAAAATGTGCATAATTATGCAAAAAAGTAATATTAATATGACAAGATTGTTAAAAAAAATGGAAACATTTGATAGGATTGATACAAAATTTTAAATATTTTCACGACAATATTTCAAGTCAGCTCTAGTAGTGGCTCCAAAGCTAAGATTTCAGTTGCTCCTCCACTCTGCTCCACTGTGCCCCATCGTGTACTCAAAGAAGGTGGCTTGTTGTTGTGTTTGTTACAAGCTGCCGTGGACTACCTGGCCAAGAACGTGAGTTTGTCCACCCAGAGGAGGATGAAGCTGGGTGAGCACTCGGCCGTGTTGGGACTGCTGCAGGTGGAGACGGGTCAGGCTTATTGAAGCCCCCCCAAGCCCCCCGAGGACGGCACGCCACTCGACCAACACCTTGGAGCCACTTTGATGACTTTGATGTTGATAGTAGTTAACAATCTCATTTCAACTACTTTCTCTGCTTTTTTTTCATACTGTTAATATTATTGTTGCTGTATGAATGTTGTTAATATGATGTTCTTTGATTACACAAGGAGGAGGAGGATTGTTTCCCCCCCAACCCCCAAGCTCCATTTTTTTTCTTCTTTTTTGGGTGGGGGTGGGGTGGGGGGTTAATTGACCTTCCCGCTTTCATATCCATCATGACATTCCAAAAGCACTTGGCCACTCTGTGGGAAGTCTGGCTGGAGGGAATCTGCAGGGAATTTTAAGCAGTGTTTCGGCGGCCAATAGCCCCCCCCCCAACCTCCCCCCCAACCTCCATCCCATCCTTAGCTGCGTTCCATGGGGAAGGGGGGCTTTGTTTGGGGAAAAAGCAATTGGGGACATGAATGTATTTTGTTTGGAAATATGGAAGCCAGACCACATGACACTAAATCCCATCTGCCGTTGTTCAAGTAGATTAGATCACACCAATCTAAAATCAGGCACCTTCACTTGGCCCAGCAAAAGACATGCATTCCTTCCAAAACATTCCGAAAAACATCTCGAAAGCATTCCAACACTTTCCACTTTGAAAAGAGTCCACGAGAGAAACACGTCATCATTTTTATGACAACGAAGTCAACAAAAATAGTCGTCATTAAGGAGAATTCATTTGGACTACTGCCAGGGTAGAACCCTGAAGATATGGTTTTGCAAAAGTCAAGCTGTGATCACTGAAGTTACATTTTACAATAATTAAGGTGGAATAGTCAGAGAAAAGTTCAAGGATCATTTTGTGAGAATAAAGTTCTTCCGAAATAAAGTATAGCTGCAGGAGAAAATCAATCAAGTGTTAGATTTCAAAGAAAGATCAAATTGAACAAGAATTAATGTACACAAAAATATAACATAACAAATAATTTGCTTGGATGAAAAACAAAAGAGGTATTAGAATTCATGAGAAAAATGCTACAATTTGGGAACATAGCGAATTTATCCCGACAATTTTGGGGGGTAAAAATTAGAAATAATTCTCCATAAATTATTCCATCATATTTTTATCATGTTTGTTAACATCTAAGGAAAAAATGGTTAAATTTAGGACCATAGTCATAATTTTATGAAAATGAATTTTAAACATAATAAAAAAAATATGAGGGCAAAAAAAAAGTCGTAATTCCAAGAAAACGTTTACGTAAACATTGCAATTATATTTCCTTGAACTCTTCCAAATTTTTGGACTTGTGAAATTTGGAATTCTTGTGTTATGTTTTTCTTGTTACATTATGCTAATTAAAAAAAAACTCGACAAGAATGAAGATTTCTACAAGAATGTTTTTTAAATTGGAATATGACAAGAAAAAAAACAGACATTTCCGTTGTAATTTTTTTTTTAAAAGTGAGGTTGCAATTTCACATAACTAAAATTGTAACATGAGGAAAGAAAGTTTAAATATTACATGAAAAGGATGCCATCTTCTTACGTTTTTAAACACAACTTGATGAAAATAAAACTATGAAAAAAATAAATGGGAATATCACATTAGTGTGACCAATTTGTCCCTTTTATGGGTGAATCTTCATACGTCCGATGTACAAAAAAATATGAGAAAAAAAGCCTTCATCTGTCATCATCTAGGACCACCTGTTTTTCCTCGTGTCATTTTATTTCTTTTTTTGGGGGGGAGGTAAACTTTTCAAATGTGTACATAGTCTCTTTGTTTCTCAAGACTATGTTTTATACTAAAACAAAATGCTACCTTTCACCTTAACTGTCTGTTGGCTTTCTGTTAGTTTTCTTGATATTGGTATTTAATTGCATTTGAATCCCGCTTTGGGAAGAAGAATGTGTCAACACTTTGGAATTAATTCCCCTGGAGATGCGGTCCAAATGAAAGGACCAAAAACTGCTCATATGGACCCCGACGGGAGCACTTGGCGGAGCTTTTTACTCGCTGGCCAGATAGGACTGGACCATTTTTCATGTTTATGCGCCCTCTGCTCAACAACAACAATGCAACAAAAACAAAAGCTGAGTGGCGTTGGATTCGTACTCACCGAATCACCTGCTTCTGCTGTGAACTTGTGAATACATAAAAAAAGAAGAAAAAAAAGACAAGAAAAAAAATGAATTAGAGTCGTCTTTAGTGTATCAAACTCATTTCTAACTCTCAATAAACATTTGGATATTTAAAGCGTCTTATTCCTCCCCGATGCCCCGATGAGCTGAATTAACCAGTTTAGTTGCTTTCTGAGTTCCTGCTTTTTCCGTTTGGCATGTGTGCGCGTGTGTGTATGTGTGTATATTATCATGGTATAATTTATTCTGCTCTATGAATATTAGACTAGTGGGAAAACATGTATTGGTATTTACGACCTTCAGCCTGTGGGTGTGTTTACTGTAACACTGGCGTAACTGTCATCAAATAAAGATCCCGATTCAAATCAAACTGCAACTTTGTGTGACATCTGCCTGAAAAGTGTATGTGTGTGTAAAAATGTCTATGTATGTAAATATCTGTATGTACACATATACATACATACATATATATATATATATATATATATATATATATATATATATATATATATACATACATACATACATATATATATATATATGTACATACATTTTTTGTAACTCGTCTCAACTGCCAACTGCGGTAACATACTGATTTATTTCCGATTTTCAGGGTTATCAATTGAGTCGCTGATGGTGTAGTCATGAACCTCCCCTGTCTTGTAAGTGGGCAGCGTGGGGTCGGTTCACACTCAATGACGATGTTGGATGTGGGTGTGTATTAGTATGGGTTGTTCGTCTCTATATGTGCCCTGCGATTGGCTGGCGACCAGTTCAGGGTGTCCCCTGCCTACTGCCCGAAGACGGCTGGGATAGGCTCCAGCACCCCCCTGCAACCATTGTGAGGAGAAGTGGATTGGAAAATGGATGGATGGATGGATGGATGGATGGATGGATGGATGGATGGATGGATGGATGGATGGATGGATGGATGGATGGATGGATAATAATGGTGGCACAGCTCCAACCTTCCTGTGTGGAGTTTGCATGTTCTCCCCCTGTGCCTGCGTGGGTTTTCTCCGGGTACTCCGGGTTTCCTCCCACATTCCAAAAACATGCATTGCAGGTTGATTAGGCACTCCAACTTGTCCCTAGGTGTGAGTGTGAGCACGAATGGTTGTTTGTCTGTGTGTGCTCTGCGATTGGCTGGCAAGCAGTTCAGGGTGTCCCCCGCCTACTGCCTGGAGATGACTGGGATAGGCTCCAGCACCCCTTGAGACCCTTGTGAGGAAAAGCAGATCGGAAAATGGATGGATGGATGCTGATAATAATAATAATAACAATAATAATAATAATAATATGGGGAGAGTAAACTTGACTGACTACATGTAACTTGATGAAAAACTGATTTATGAAATCAGAATTTTTCAAAGTTGTAATTGCGGTCAAGTGGTAGCGTTTTGAGGGAAAACCGGATTTTTTAAAATGTATTTTTTAAATGAAGCTGTTTTATACAATGAAGAAAAAATATTTTTTTTCATGAGCTTGAAGTCAGAATTTTAAAAAACTGTAATTGTCAGCATACCTGCAAAGTTTTACTTTTGAGTTGTAAATAACAATTTTACACCAACAAAATTGCAATGTTACCCAGATCAAGTTGTAATATACATCTTTTCATGAGAATCAATTCATAACTTTACAAAAAACAAAATTGCAAGATGGGGGTAGGGAGGAGATGACAATTTAACTTGTGCAATGTGTTGCTTTAATGGTCATTGTGTGTCTGATTTCATGACAACGGAAGTGACTCATTGAAATGATGACAAGGAAATAAGCGCGTTGGACCGCACGCTGCGTTTTGCTGTGCGCTCAAGAACATCGTCCGCAGCCCCTTGCAGCTGTAGGAAGTCAGTCAGCGTGTAACCACAAGAATGTTGTCTACAAATCTGTCTGCTATGCTGTCAGTGCAACACGTCTTATGTTGCATGTCCAACATCTGAGCTCACTTAGTGTTTATTTTATCGCCACCGCTGCTTGTCGCCCGCATCACACATCATCCTTGAAGTGCTCTTAGCTCTGCGTTATCTAATTATCATGATTAGAATCGTGTGTTGATGAGTCCAAATCGGGTTGTGATTGCTGGCTGAGAGATGCTTCCACAGTGAGAAATAATTCAACGCGTGTTGTTGTTCATTTGCACTTTAATGGAAGAGAGCAAAGGCAACACTTTACATGAGATGAGAAATCTAATATAGGAAATACTTATCTAAATAAACCCCTGTTGCTCATCAACTGAAGAGAACATTACTCTATTCAGTCAAATTATTATCTTTTTTTGTTTTCTTGGCTTGAATTTTGAACAGTCACAAATATGATTCCCAGCGTGTTAAAAGTTCAAGTGTTGTTGTCTCTTTATTTTTCAAGGACCCATGTTTGGTCAAAAGTCATAACACTTTGAGGAAAAAAAATTGCATTTTAACAAGAAGGAAGTTCATCAAATAAAAGTGTAATTTTCTGGAAGAAAAAAATATTTTATGAAAAATAAAATGATGCCATTCTTCACCCCCCCAAAAAAGACCATTGTCTGGAAAAAATAAACTTTAAGCCTAAATTAAGTGTAAGTTGAGGGGTTCGTAGTTTTCGAATGGATGGCTCTACGTAAAGAATGGGCAAAAGGAGAGATGCACTTAGTTTGAACGCTGCTTTTATTTTCCAACGTCTGCCCCACAGTACCAACGAGAACACCTTCTTCCGGCTACCAAATCACTTCCTGCTTTCTTTTAGCTAATCAGACGCTCTCAATATAAACATGTTTAAGAAATTATTAAAGAGAATATAATTTGAGTAACCTTAACATGAAAGACTATACTGTAATGCTCAAACATAAAATGATAATAATTAACAATTTAACAAAAGCTTACATTAGCATAAGTAGACAAGAAGGTCATAGCACTAGCATGAAGGCCTGCCGATGAGCTCATATTAATTTTATTGTCAAATGAAACATAACATGGACAGCTCTTGGAAGCTGGCTTTGCTGTTTACCTCGCGTCGCTCTCACATTTTAACAATGGAAATATGCCACCCCAAAATCTCAGCTCGCGTTGGGTCTGACGAGCAACCGCGGCATTAGGCTAGTAGGGCTACATTTCCCATGATTCTTAGACATGGAAGCAGGAAGCAGTCTTGTTCTTGTTATGTTGAAAACGTGAATGTGAAAGTAAGTCGGAAGGAATTTAACAGTAAAATTCCTTTTTAATTGCTTTATCTTATGTGTCGCTATGACAACATTGTGAGTGACATACACATGGCCTGAACAATTGGCTTGCTGACTGGACTTAAAAAAAAATAACGGATGGCGGGACTGTTTCAAAGTGGGACAAAACAACGGGGTTGACAAAATCCGACTGTCCCAGTTATCCTACCATAGGTGTGAATGTTTGTTTGAGGCCTGCGATTGACTGGCGACTCGTCGAGGGTGTCGCTGCAAAGTAAGCTAACATAAGCTCCAGCTCACCCGCGACCTGAATGAGGACAAGCGTTACAGAAAGGAGATGGATGCAGGTCCAAAGCAGATGTGCAATGTTGGCCTTGTGGAGGTGCCGTGCATTGTTTGTCACCCGCGTCACCCCTCATCTCTTCCACTCAAAGTTAGCGTCGTGCCTGAGCAGATTAGCCGTGTGGCGTCCCGGGCAGTTTTGTCCCCACTCCGCCGCGCGCCTGTCACTCCAAATGGACGAGGTGGCGGCTCAGGCGTCACCGCGCCACAGAGCTTTGGCCCGCCGCCCGCTTTGATCCAATAATTGATTGACTACAGGAGCTGAGGATCAACAAGAGCCCTTTTTCCCCTCGCCTCTCTTCTAGGAAGGTTTTAGATAAAAGTGCCCAGGGATCCTGACTCCTCCTCTGCCGCCTCGACGTGGACAGTGCCACGGTAGCTTAGCTGGAGGCCGCGTCCTCAGGTCCGGGGGCCTCTTGCGCTGCCCCTGATGGTAATGGGTTTGTTTACATCACAGGGCTGGAAATGAGAGGTGGTGGGAGGGGGGGGGTTTAA